TTACTAAGCATTAATGGTGATTGGCCATTTGGAACTTTGGGGGAATGTGAAAGTGCAAAAATCTATAAAATTTTAAATAGCCATCATTTTCTAAAAAAAAAACCATGACCACCAAACCCACATTATAAATAGTATTATATGTTCCTTTAAAAAAATACAATATTATGTACAAGAAGTTATAAATAGAATTGCTACCCTATTGTAAGTAATTCCATATCATATGTATTTATTTCATTACTCATTTGAATATAGTTACTAGGCAATACATTGACTCCCATATGGACACATATTGTGTATTTATTCTTATATGGTTAAATATTTTGCTCCTTTGTTCCATTTATTACCATATAAAACAATGAATGTCTTTGTATATAAATTTTATGTACAGTTCAAAACATGTATGATTCTACCCATTACTTTGGGTAGAATTAATAGGGTAATAATATTGAGTCTTCCCACCCATGAAATTTATTTACTCTTCAGTTTATTAAAGTTTCTTTAAAAATTCTTTCAGAAATATTTATCATTTACTTTATTTTATTACATATGTAAATTTTCTCTTGACTATTCATATTGCTGTGACAATCATAAAGGTTATACTTAATTCAGATTTCTAATTTATTATTGCAAGTACAGAAAAATAAAATTGATCTGTTCTTCCTAAATCATTTACTAATTCTACTAGCTTTGCTATATCCATTCAAATTTTTAACAGAAACTATGAATAAAGACACTTTTATTATTTCCTTTCCAAGAGATCAGTTTTACTTATTTTTACATCCTTATCACATAGGATCAACAGTGCAAAGATGAATAGTAGCAAGAGTAGAATTCTCGGAGTTTTTCTCAATACTAAGTTTCCACCCTATTAATATACTTATTTATTTATTTGTTTTGGTACCAGGGATCAAACTAGGGACCTTGTACGTGTGAGACAGTTGGCGGAAATCCAACTGAGCTAAATCTCCAGCCCGCATGCTATTAATATAAACATCCTGTATAATGAAAATATAATATTGATTTCCTTCTACTTTCACCATGCACATTTTATGAAGAGTGGAAACTGACATGTTAAAAAATAAAATGTTCCTACTGCATCTAATGATGGTTCAGTAGCTTTTTAAAATTTGCTGTACAATTTTATCTTTAAATGTACAGACTTTTTTGATCTGAGACAAAACTCACATTGTCACAATGTATTACTTCTACATATCAATTAATTTGAGTTGTTGAAGATTCTAACACATTGGTTTATAAGAAGTATCGTTCTATAATTTTTTCATGTCTTTGGCCTAATCAAATGAAGCTGGCTTCCTAAGTGAGAAGACAATCGTGCCCTACTCTATTTTCTCTGAAGTGAGTTTTTGAAAGAGAGATTTAATTTCTAGCGAAATCACTGTCAATTAGAATTTCCTGCTTATTGAAATATGTATCAATTTTTTTATTCTATACTAGCCAATGTGGATGATACTTTATACAATATTCAGGTTGTGTTTTCTTTATTTAAAAAGTATAAGGCTTCATTTCACTGGGATTGATTTGATCCCTAAGGATTTGGGTTTCTTGGGTTTTTTGGTTTGTTTTTTGCTGTTCTGTTTTGTTTTGATACTGGAGGTTGAGCCCAGAAGTGTTCTACCACTAAACTGAATTCCCAGCTCACTTACACTGTATCGTCTCACTGTATCATCCTGATTGGTCTTGAACTTACTCTCCTCTTCTTCTTCTTCTTCTTCTTCTTTTTCTTCTTCTCCTCCCCCTCCTCCTCTTCCTCTTCATCAGTCCTGATTGGTCTTGAACTTACTCTCCTCTTCTTCTTCTTCTTCTTCTTCTTCTTTTTCTTCTTCTCCTCCCCCTCCTCCTCTTCCTCTTCATCCTCTTCCTCTTCTTTTTCTCCCTTCCTCCTCTCCCTCCCCCTCCTCCTCCCCTTCTTCCTCTTCCTCTTCCTCTTCCTCTTCCTCTTCCTCTTCCTCTTCCTCTTCTTCTTCTTCTTCTTCTTCTTCTTCTTCTTCTTCTTCTTCTTCTTCTTGTTGTAGCTGGGATTTTGTGGAACATCACATCTTGCTAAAGCATGTCTGTTTGTATCTTTATCTGTCTGTTTTTTTGTTTTGTAGAGCCCTTTAAAGATAGTCCAAGAGAGAATTTTAAGATGATCTCTAAGATTTTTAGCTTCTAGTGAACATGTTTCATATAAGCTTCTCGATGTGGATAGTGCACAGGAATATGGTAGAATTATACTCTTGTGGTTAAGTTATGCAATGTATAACAAAGGTGAGTCTGTCAGCTTTGAACTGATAGAAAAATATTACCTTCAGTGGGCCTTGACTCATCTTCCTGAAAGGAGAGGGTCAATATTGCCATCTTGTTGGCTTTCACGAAAGAGACCAACAACTTGTAGAAAAGTTCTGGGGCAAAGAAAGCAGAGAAACTTCTACAAGCAGGAGTCTTAGTTTTACATGAATCAGAAACTGAAACCTCCTAAAAATAGTAATTCAGAAGAACCCTATCCTCGGTGGGGATTACAAATCCATGGGAAGTCAACTACAGACAATGTGATGTGGACCACAGGAGCCAGACAACCAATTCCCGGAATCCTGACATACAGAACCTAAGAGATAATAAATTTATGTTGTTTTAAATTAAAAAGATAGTGGTCATTTGCGAGAGAAAATTAATACTCAAATATTTAGAATAACCTTCACTCTAGAAATAGTTCAGTCTTACTAGCAAACCATATCTCCTCTAATATTTGAAATGCCCTGGCCAGTCACCAATATCTCTTCGCTATGTCTGTTCAGAGTAGTTTCTTGGTCATGTTTGCCCTCTGAGGATTGTTGTGTTTGATTCCAGGCTTGTTTTTAGCCTGGCCTTCGAATTTTCTCTTTATGCACTGGTGTCCTATGGCTCAGAATAATTTACAGGCAGACATATTTTGATTTCTGGAGCTCTACTAGATTTTAAATTCCTACTCCATAATTCTTCCTTGTGTTTCAATATGATCATAAGTTAGTGGATATTTGTAAAAAAAAAAATTCATGTATTTGGTATATTTTTAATTAAATCAAGTATTATTTTTAAGCACTCTATTTTCAGTTTTTACATCTTGTATCCTATAACAATAAAATACTATGATTCAAGCATTATGCTGTCAGTAGAGAGAAACTACAAATGCTACTGTACATATGCACAAAAGAAACTCATATGCTACTGGTAAAACCAGTATCTGAGAAACTATGAACAATTAGTTATGAAATGAAGTTCTTATTAACTGAGAGGCTATAAAACGATGAGGGTTAAAAAGATAAACTGAAATAACTACATACTTTTCTTCTGCTCTCATAGTCAATTGACTATTAAGTCTAGAGACTATATATAAACTGTTTCATGAGCTTGTTCTCACTCTCCATTTCTATTATCACCACTTCGGTTCAATTTTTCATTATTTCTCACCTGAACAACTGTAATACCTGTTAAATAATCACTCCTTTGCGGATCATCTTGTCCTCTCCACCGCATTCAATATTTTCTCAGAATTACTTGGTTATCTAGATAAAAATGTATGCCGTCTTCTAAAACTTTTATTGGCCTCTCACTGTTTTTTTGTCCAACAAAATTCTAATCCCTTAGTAAGACATAATTCATATTCACACATATATACATGTTTATTTATGTATGCGTGTATGCACCCAATGAAGTGCCTACATGATTCAAGACAATGATAAAGAAACAACTCATTGGGCCAGGGATTTAGCTCAGTGGTGCCGCCTGCCTTGCAAGCACAAGGACCTGAGTTCAATCTCCAGTACCAAAAAAAAGAAAGAAAGAAATAACTCACTGTAATAAATTGTCACCTTCAGTTACCAGCCATCCTGTTATTAAGAAGTCACTTTCTTGGTGGTAAAATCTGCATTTTAAGAGAAATTCTCAAACTAACAACAATCATTTCATGTTGAGAAAATCCTAAAACTCTTATCAATTGTAGGTGTACCACATTGACTGAAATAATCCAGCAATATCTAGTCAAGCTAGGTAGGACCCAACTGGAATTGAGTATTTCGGTACAGTAAGGATGACAAAGGCAAGAAAAGGAAGAGTTAAGGTTAAACCAAGCTCTATGTAAAAGGAATCACTGTATCTGTTGTCCTGGACAGCATGTAAAAGTGCACTGCCTTAGTCACTTTTAAAAGGTGTGAGTAAAGGAAACAAGAAAAATTGCCATAGCAATAGACCTTCTTATTCATCATTGTATCATCAGGACCTAAAAGAGCAATTGCTCAGAAGTTCTGAATAAGCAAGTGAGGGTGAAAGGAGATGTACTTGTAGTCTTCTTAACAAAACATTTCTGTCAAAGATCTAATTTATAGCTGAAAGTCATAGGTCAGGCATGTAATAGAATAGGCATAAATAGAATGAATAATTTATGCTTTCAAGTACCGTGAAGTTGAGACAAATAATGGTGAAAAGCACAAAGATGCTTTGAGTTAAATAAGGTATATGTGTCCCACAAAAAGGATTAAAACCTTATGTCAGTGTCATCAATCAAGTGCCAAAGAGAATAACAAGAGTAGAAAGTTGGGCTGTGTAACTGGACTTCACATTAAAATTTAAAGTGTTTTATAAAAAAAGAGGAGTTTTTAAAATCAATTTGTTAGGAACAGTGAAATCTCAGAACATATTTCAAGTAAAAGAACAATTTATTTCAAAAGAACCAACCATGCTTACATAAGACATTAACATTAGAGAAAGGACAGGGACAAAAGCATCTATGTGAACGCTGTGATATCTACGCTAGTTTTCTGTAAAGCTAAAGCTTTATTAATAAAAACAAAAGAACTAGCTAATGAAACTATACTTTTATTTTAATACTGAATTTAAAAAATTAAGGTACATTTTGCAGACAATTGACAATATTTCAGTATGAACTACATTCACAGAGTTACTGTTAATCCATTTAAGGGTAAAAGTGGAAAGATGGAAATACAGCAGAATTTTCTTATTTCCAGGAGAAACATGCTGGAGGAAAATGTGTGCAGAGAGTGACGAAGCAAACGGGGTGAGATGCTAACACCTGTTGAATGTAGGTACAAAGAATATATTGTTTCATTGTTTTAATATTGTAAGTTTTTTTTTTTTAATTTCTAAAGATACCAAGGAAAGGCAGAAAAAATGTAAAGACTTTCCAGGAAGTGTTGAGATTCGACACGATCTTGGGTTAATTAGCTTCTGACTATTTCCATAGTAATATAAAAATTAAAAAAAAAAAGATTTCCATCAAAAATTGTACTTTTAAAAAATTCTGGTATTTTATATTTTGAAATATAGAAATTTAAGCCCATTATATATTTAAGTAGGTTGTAAGAATGAAATTCGTGATGATGTCTATGTGGGTGGTGTATGGGAAATAAAGCGATCATTCAGTATGAAAAATTCACACTGCACCATTTGGTGAAAGTCAAGCCTGCACATCCATATGTTATTTAGAAACAGCTAAGACAATTTCCAATATTTACATTGCTTGGAAATATTCTCACATTCTTTTCCTTGGGTAGGAAAAAGTGAGGCTTTGAAATCTCTGGTATTTTGGTAAAAGAATAAATGGTGACTAAGCTGAGATGAAACCATAGTTTTTTTTGTCACATCATTTCTCCACAGTTGTGTGTGGGTGTGTTTTAAATTAGTGTTATCATAACGGCATAGTATCTACACAATAAAAACACCTTTTAAATATAATCAATGACATTGCTAAAATATATTTATGTTTGCTATACGTTTAACTTCTTACTGTAATTGACTTTGTTTAATTACTGGAAGAACTTCCTCTAAAGTTCTACTATAATGATTCATTCATTCAGTAATGTTTCAATCATGCAACAGAAACTATTTCATTCAGTAAGCACTTTATTATTGAAGTATGATTCTTTCATTTGTGCACACAATAATATATTTCTGTTATGTATAAAATCTCATAATCAAAACATGAAAAATAAAATCCATAAATAATTCACGACTTCATTCACTAATACATCTTTATGTTCTTTACTCCTACTTGTGGATGAAAATTTACAAACTGATGCTTATAGCTTGTTTTATTTATTAAAGTGAAGTGAGAAAATTTCACCAACAATTGGAATAAAATTAGATGAGGATAATAAAGAACCAAATATTCACGAATGACACAATATTTTATTAGGAGCTGGTAACAGAGGATTAGTTCGCCTAAATTTGGCTATGAATTTACTCGTATAAAATAAAATCACCTCCCACTAATTTTCTGAGGAGCTTCCGCTTACTAGGAGAAAAACAGCAAGCTTTTTTAAGGTGAAATTTCTTAACTGGAGAGCACAGTTTATTCTTAAAGTTCATGTAAGATCTTTTGAGCTTTTTATCTTCTTAGTAAAATACATATTTTTGTTTCCTTATTTTGGCGTGTGCTGTGTGTTTGATTACCTTTAATAATTTTTAAAATGGAGAATGGAGAAAGAAATATGGACTTGGTTTCAATCTGCCTGAATTTCAAGATACAGAGACTTAGCTAGCATAATTTTTTGCCTTTTTAAAATCGTGGTTTTGCAATGATTTGGGAACTATGTACAAAGAGCTCAACCTAATTTTCTCTATTTATATCACATGTTTTATAAAGTAATTTACTAAATTGCTGTCTGGTTTTGGTTTCTAAATTCAATTTTGAAGTTTCTGCATTTAATGTTTCTTTTAATAACATGTCCATTTACAAGTGCATAAGTTTTACTCATGGTAAGAATTCCACTATTTAGGGTAAGATAAAGAGGCTACTAAATGAATGGAAATAAAAAGGTCTTATTCTATACCTTGTAGAAATTGAAGTAGGGATTTTTATATTCAAAAGAACATAAGAATAAGAACCTAATAATGTTATCATTGGGATATGATTTATAATGAAAGCAATTATTTTATCACAACTATCATTAGTTGTCTGCATTCTTGGGCAACAAAAGCAAAATGGGAGGCATCACAATCTCAAACTTCAAGTAATAATGTACTTCAGAGCTACAGAGAGCAACTTTGATTTAGCAAAAAAGTAAAAAAAATTTTAAAAAAGATAAGGGGGTCAATGGAACCTACTAGAGGATACAGAAACAACTCCAGGGACATTCAACTATTTTATCTTTGACAAAGAAGGCAAAAACATACATTAGAGGAAATAGCTTCTTTAACAAATTATTCTGGGGAAACTGGTTTTCCATATGCAATCTAGAAACATCTCTCACTCTGTACAAAATGAAAATCAAAATGAATCAAAGATCTAAATGTTAGAAAAGAAACATAATCTGATGGAAAATGAAATAGTTAAAATTCTTGAAAGCATGTGGGCAAGGAGCTTCTACACAGAACCCAAACTGCACAAGAAATAATACCAAGAATCAACAACAACAAAAAAAGTCATGTCAAATAAAAGATTTCAGCACAGCAAAGGAAACAACAGAATGGAGGTAATCTACAGAATGGGAACAAAATTTCCCAACAATCCTCAGAGACAGACGACTAATATCTAGAATATACAAAGAACTGAAAAATTTAGACCTCTCAAAGTGAAAGATCCAATAAAAAATGGGAAACTGAAATGAATAGACACTTCACAGAAGGAATACAAATGGCCAATAAACACATGAAAAAATTCAACATTAACAAAATACAAATTTAGACAACATTGAGATTACATCTTACTTGGGAAAGAATGTTTATCATGAAGGAATCAAATAACAAATGCTAGAGAGGTTGCAGGGGGAAAGAAATCTGCCTACATTATTGACGGGATTGTAAACTAGTGTAAGCACTATGGAAATCCGTGGAAATCCTTCAAGAAACTAAAATTAGAAATTCCATTTGAGAAGGCTTTTCCCCTTCTAGGCATCTTCCTGAAAGAGTTAAAGTTATCTCACTAGAGAGATACATACATACCCATGCTTATACTAAGCAGGACAATTCATAATACCTGAATCTTGGAAGCAATCTCATATCCCTCAACAGATGAATGGATAAAGACAAATGTAGTATTTACATACAACAGAACAATAGTCTGCCATAAGGATAAACTTGAGTTATTTGTAGGAAAATGCATGCACATGAAGACCATAACATTAGGTAAAATAAATCAGACACAATCTTAAATATCACATTATTTATTTTATGTGAGAAACCCAAAATATAAATAAAACAAAAGTAAATGATAAGAGGATTTGGAGAGATCTGCAAATGGGATGGAGACTAAGACATGGAGAAAGAGGATAGAGAAGGGAAGGAATGAAGATTTTTAAAAAGAAGATGTACTATCTACATGTACTGATAAAAAATAAAGTAGAAAAAAACAAATGCTGTTTGTTTTCTGTTGCCACACAGCTAACTTATAACCCCATACTTAGTAACTTATTAAAAAACAAATAAAAAAATAAACAACTTTTTACTACTCACAATTGGGGAGGGGTCACGTGATTCGTTGAGGCGGCTGATAATTAGGAGCCGGACATGTGCAGTGCCTGCTCTCGAGGCTTAAGTTCCATGGAAGCTTTCATCCACAGATGCTAAATAGAGCTTTGGCACATGTCGACCACAGGCCAGGTTCCAAATAAAGGGAAAGCTGAATCTGACTGGCCCATTAATGTCGAGCTTCTGATATTCTCTGCTACATTCTGCCAGTGCAACCAATCACAAGGCAAGGCCATATTCATGGGGGTGGAATTCATTTTACCTCTTCATGGAAAATCTTTCAAAGTCATATCATAAAGGTACACCCACCAAGGGAGCATGCATCCTTAAGGACCATGATTTTATTAATCTATGACACAAACCAAATGACAGCTTAACCCAGTGCCTTTTGAACGATAAAGTCCATAATCGTTTTAAATTCACGCTGAGATGTAAAATACATTTTATTGGGTTGATAGCCTCATTCATCATTCAGTCATTTTTAAAGGTATTTTTAGTGAAATGAGGGTGCTTTCATTTTTTCATAATATAAAATGAGCTCCTCTGAAATGTAATCTCAGCTAACAAGGAATGTAATTCAATATTAAAAAAAAATTTCAAATGGTGTTAAAATGGGAAATACTGAAATAACTTATAGAATAGGATGTAAAATAAATCAATACTTTTGATAGGTTTATCAATACCATGCTTAACATTTGAAGAAGTAGCAAAAGTTTGTTATCTTTTTGTTTATAAATAGCAAGTATGATGTGTTTGTGGGGAACAGATCAATGGTTTGGTTAAAAAGGAGGGAAGAAATGAAGTCTTTTCTGAATTTTATTATAATATGTTAAAAATTGCAAATTGTTTTACCAAAGTATACAATGCTTTATGACTTAGATCCAGTACCCATTTATTGAGTACTTCAAATGCTTTTGATACTACTATTCAATGTTTATTGCCAACCTTTATCAGTAGAGAGTTAACATCATATGTATTACTGACCTCCAACAAAAGAGAAAAACAAGGCTCATAACACTATGTATAAAAAATACTAATTGTATTAAAACATTAATAAGTATTTTTAAATAATGGCCTGAAAATTTGAAATCCCATTTTTAGTAATTTTTATCCAGTGCTTGTGTCACTACTGCTACTCTAAAAAGTTTGTCTGAACAAGTCATTATCAAGTACAATGAAATATTTTCTTTCAAAAATGTTCCCTTTTTCCAACTAAAAATAAAGATAAAGCAGTTTACTTTAAAAGGCCTTTTAGATGAACCACTGAAGTTTATTCACTGCTAATTACAGCTGTAACATATAGTAGATGGTGGCTTTACATATATTCTCCACTTAATTCACAAAGTTATCTACAGAAGTACTTTTAATTTTCAGTTTAGGAAACAGACTTAAGGCACTCGTGTAGAATCACCTCAGATCATTTATATGAGAAGCTCTGTAATGAACTTTTAAAAAAATGATTCTAAAGACACCATAAGATGCAGACAAAGTTGAGAGCCATTATATTGTTTGTTTGTTTGTTTGTTTGTTTGTTTGTTTCCTGGTTCCTGGAATTGCTTCTCTGCCTTTTAACTAAAATCAAGTGTAGTGTCTGGTTCCTGGAATTAAATTCAGGAACTTTCTCTTGCCCTGTTTTATATTTTTTAAAAGACTTGGTGTGTCATTTGTGGTAAAGCTAGAATATATAAGACACTGAAAATTGAATAGTCACAAACTCATGGTTTTCGTATCACTAAAATCCTCAAAGTTTCAAATTTTGTATTTGAAATTTATATTCTAATAAGTATTTTTAAGGCATGTGAATGCATCTTTTGAAGGAAATATCTTTTGTTGATATATTATCAAAATTTTAAATAAATTTGAATTTCATACATTTTGAAGTTTTAAACTATTAAAAGGAGATTCAGTATGAAGCACATCATGGCTGTTATGTTTGGGGAAAAATACCATGACTGCTTTGATAAGAGGAAAACATTTAAGAAAAAAAAATCAAGTACCACTGTTTTGTTCAGTTCCCTATCAATTCAATTCAAAATCTCATGTGATCAATTTTATTTAAAGTCTGTCCTCCAGTAAGAACCCAGTAGGGTTCTTTTCAAACCCTGAACCTTAAATTAAATCTATTCAGTTTTACCTAAACACAATTTAATATATTATTCTATTGCCTGGTAAGCTTGTATGTATCCAGTCTAACGTATGTGTAAACTTAAGAATAACTGAAATATGTGAACAAATATTTGTACAAATATGTCACTGCTAATTTATTTATTTACACTTACCAAGAAATCCAATATGTTCAGCTGCTAAAATATATATATAAAACTACAGACTCACCCCAAAATATTATCTGTCCACATATTAAAGTGAAGAACTTATTTTACAAGTAGATAATTCAGAGGAAAAGCTTTCAGTGTCAAAGATGTATTTGTTAAATGACAACGTGAGTTTCAAAGAATCTCTTTCAAGATGAAAACTTACCAGCAAATTTGATATGGAATTTATTTTCGGGCTTTAGTATCTGGACATACAGAGGGCAATTAGGAGCAAAGTCTTTTACAGCCCATGCTCTCAAAATAGTTTGGTGATCCTGAAAAGAAAAAAATATATATATCTTGAGATAAATTTATAAGTTTATAGTGTTCAAAATTTTAAAAAAAAATCAAACACTTGGTTTGCTGAATGGCCAGACCCACAGTCAAAACTCAATGCACAGAATAACTCATCACAAGGACTCATTTCTGAGAACATTTGTTATTTCAATACAGGAGATAATAATACTTAATATGACCAATGCTCACTGCCTGTACTCAGAAAACTAGCAGAGATTAAAAAAGGTGTAGCTGGATAAAATTAAACTAATTGGTCCAGAAAATTTCTGTGAGTCAATAGCTTACAGAATTGGAGCACAACAGCTACAGGACAAGTCATAATAGCAACTTTCATGGAGGAAAAAAATACAAACTCATAATAATAAAATATTTAGAAAGATTGGCAAAATAAGACAGATGCAGTGACCATACATGTAGCTAACACCTTAGCCTACTTTTCCAATGTAACTGTAATGGTTAAAGGATTTTGACTGTGCTAGGGCGAGGGAGTGTGGAGAAAGAGGTGCTCAGATAAAATATACTCAAAAAGTTACGACACTAAGATTAGGAGTGCAAATGAGAATCCAATTCATGCTTAACATGAAATCTTACACACAGCAGTCAACCCATAAACAATTATTAATGAACTGAATAAACCAAAGCAAATTATTAGAGAACTAACCTCCAAAGTTTCTCCATGTTTAGAGAAAAATGCTCCAAAATAACTCACATTATGCGTGTGAGTAGGGATCAAAGCCTAAGACATTTTTTTAAAGAAAGCACAAAGATATTCTATGGTAGCGCTGTCAATATGGTAGCAAATAGCCCCATATAAATGTTCACTTTTTATTTTTGTTTTTGAGATAGAGTCTTGCTTTGTTGTTTAGGCTGGCTTTGGACTCACCATGTACCCCAGGCTGACCTGAAAGTAACAGTGATCCTCCTGCCTCAGCCTCCCCAGATCCCCAGTGATGGGATTACAGGCACACCACTACACCTGACAGATGTTCGTTTTAATTTAATTTAAGGAAAAATAACTCCTACTGTGATGGTATTTGGATATAGGTCACAAAGTCTTCACATTGATCGGATTAATTATCTTCTTAGAGACTTCCTGGAGACTTCCCAAGCCCCTCTAGACATGCGGGGTCATAGACAGAAGAGAAAAACCAATGTCTGTGAACTACGCTGCCAGTCCTCTCCAGACACTCAGTCTGCTCGCACAATGACCTTGAGTTTCACAGTCTGAAGAGCTGTGAGAAATAAACTTATATTGTTTACAAGCCACACAGTATCGCATTTTGTTATAGCAGCCCAGACTGAGATGGTAAAATGAACTTACAAGAAAGCCTGTGAATGGTAGAATAGAGGCAGTTCAGTAAACAATATGAAAATTTAGGCAAGCATTCAAGGCATGAAGACAACAGAAGTATCACTAGCATTGATCAAATGTAGATTTATTAATTCATTGAACATGCTTTTAAATCTGCAATGTGGAGATTAAAGACAATTTAACAGTTTACTGTACATACTTTAATGGACAGGGAAAAGTGAATGTACACCAGTGTAGCTGTTAAAATATTTTCTTTTATTTAGGGTTATGTTAAAGATAATGGGCAATTTTTAAAGTACTGTGCTGCTTTGTGTATCAGTACCTAACAGAACTTGGACAAGTTCGAGCTCTTCATTTCTGAAAGTAGAACTTTCTATCTCACAAGATTGCTTTGGCAAAATAGTACATACAAGACTCTCAAAACGGTTAACAGTTAATAGTAAACATACTTTTCCTTATGGGAGTCATCTCAATAATAGAAATAAAATCATTAAAAATAAAGGTATAGAAGAAGGATGAATTTCTTAGCAAGAAGATTGAAAACTGAGATTTGCCTGCTGATATCAGCAACAAATATAAGCACAGAAGCGGGGATAGAGGACGCTGAGATGACCAACAACACAGAAGGGCGGGCTCTTTTCATCAATTGACCCTCTTGCAGATGACTTTAAGCTCTGCATAAAAAATCTATGAAACAACCACACAAGGGTTTTAAAAACTGACCACAAGCAGGCTGACTCTGCAGGGGAACTGGAACCTGGAGGAAGTGGCACTGTCATAAATCTGTTCCACTGCTCCTGCCCAAGGGTATCTGCGGTTAGCATCGTAATACAGGGAGGCAAAAGCTCCACAGCCAATCTGCCAAAAATACAGAATGGAGCTTGGAGCCATCACACACACAGTGAAGCTAGGAAAAGTGAGAGGTGGTGAAGAGAAACCATAAGTCATGTGTATAAATGTAAGTCTCTCTGACTAACTCATGAACCAAGCATGCAGGGAGGAAAAGAATGCAATCTGAACTTATATTTGAAGCACTGCCAACTTCAAGAGTGACAAAGTTTGTACTTGAGTTGAATAAAATTAAAACAAGGACATAAATACTTTTTGGAGCAATATGTAAGGATCGAAGGCTCCGTAATATAACACAATACTCAAAATACAATGTAAGCTTACACAGCATATGAAGTGTCAGAAAATGTGACCGGTTTTCATGGAAAATAAACAAAAATGATAACCAACACCTGTTAGCCTCTAGGTGATCTGGGTGTTACATTAGTAGAATAGGACTAAAAGCTAGTGGTAGAGTTACGATCAGAGCTATCGGAAAATATGCTGCAAAAATAAAAACAAAATTTAAGCAATATAAAAAATATTTAAAATTAAGTACAAGAACCAAATGTTTGTGAAAAATATTTACTGGATGGGCTTTGAAGATGAATGGAGAGACAGAAGATAAGTCAGTGACATTGGACTTGATCAGAAATCAATAAAATTTTATTCTATTTTACAAAAGAAAGAAAAAAAATTTTTTTCTACCGGGGATCAAATTCAGGACCTTGTGCTTGCTAGGCAAGTGGGGCACAACCGAGCTAAATTCCCAGACGAGAAAAAGAAATTTTTTTTAAAAAGAGCAAAACCCAAAGTCCAGACACTTGTGCAACAATGTAAAAAGGACTTCAATGCATAATTCAAATTTCCAAGAAGAAAACCAAGAGAAAAAAAGACAATTTGAAGAAACAATAGCTGGAAACTTCTCAATTTTATGAAAGAGGAATTCAGTAAACTTCAAACCATCTGACAGCACCCAAAGAAAAAGTCAGATGGCCAGGGCTCTCATCACAAATCATCAAATCGTGGAGGAAGAAGTAGGAGACAAGGGGATCAAGGGTTGGCAAATTGTCATAAATGTCATATGCGTGCACCAACTCCCACTGTCCTGTACTGCAAGCATAGGCGAATAAAAAAAAATTCAAAGGTAAAAATAGCTTGCCTAAGGCAAGAGAAAAATAAATAAATAAAGCAACCAAGGTAAAACACCCTGAAGTTCAGTATAAAGGAAAATCACAACAGAAACCCTTTGAGGCCAGAACTTTACATCTAGTGAAAAACTCTGCAAAGAGAAAAGTGAAATAAGTAACTCTTTAATATAAACAAATTCAACAAAATATACTTCCATTAGCATCATAGTATAATAGAAACATAAAATTCTTTAGACTTAAGAGAAATGATATCAAGCAGAAAATTAGAATTTGAAAAATCAGAGTATTGGAAATGATTAATGTATGAGTGAATCTAAAATATATAAACACATAAAAGAAAACTCTGTAGTACTGTTTGTGAAGGTTCTAATGTATAGATATATTATAAAATTTAACACATAATAAACATAAAGAAAAGTAGAAAAGGAATAAATGTGAGTGTGGTATAATAATAATATGATAAGATAAAGATTTGTACTGTCATTCTTAAAGAAGTCACCAAAAAAGAAAAATTCAAACCTCATACCTAAAAGTTAGTAGGGCTATAAAACTGAATGCCTTAAAAAAATTAAATGAAAAGAACTACAAAATGGAAAACAGACAAAAAAAATAACAGAGGGAACAAACAAAACAATTTAGATAGAACCTGGTTCTAGCAATAATAATAATAATGGCATTAAGTATTATTAAATTAAACATACAAAAACAAATACTATCAGAGACAAAAAAAACTAAAATACAACTATAAACAATTGAAAAAGAATGCTTTTTAAATGTGAAGTTCCAGATAAGGCAAAAATGACAGTAAGAAATCAAACAATACAACTTAACAATTGACTGAAATCAGTGTAGAAATTTCACCAAAACAGTTACCAGATCACAAACAGGCAAATAGGAGGTGCACAGTATCATTGTAATTAGTAAATTTCAAATTACAACAGGGAGATTTCACTATTCACTTACTGAAAAGGCCAAAACCAAATCATTAAATACACCAGACATTGGTGAAAATGTAGAGCAATACGGTTTGTGTACGGGAGAGGATAGATGTGGATTGTTAAAATGTTGTTTGTGATATTTTAAACCTAAAACTGCTTTAATGGGGGGTGCTAGTTAATGTTTTACAAAATAAGTGGGAAAGTACGAGCTTTATAATCACAAACCCTGCATGCTAATGTCACCACAAAGTTTCCAACATGTTTTTAAAAAGTTATTACAGAAGTTTTATTGAAAAGTATCCTTGTACAGCTCACTATTTTTCTTTTCTTTGACCCTGGGTGGCATTTTGCTTGTAAAGGATTGGCTCTCTAGTGATTCATTTCTGGCTCCTGTGATTCAATGTGCTAGATTGTCTTTTGGTGTTCCTAGCCCAACCTGACCTCACCTTCCTGCTGATAATTCTTCCTTTTCCCAAAAGATGATGCGCTCAAATGACAAGTCCTCAACTCCTCTGGCTTATTTTCCCGGAGTTAGCGAGTTCTCAGGTCTTGTTGGTTATACCTTCTAATATTTCTGTCATATGTTCATTTCTCTCTAGCCCTAGTACCACATATGGGTTGGAACAGGGCAACAGCCTTCAAGTCAGCCTATCTCAAGTTTACCGGGATTTTTTTTTGCCCACTATTTTTATTTTTATCACGTGTAGTATCCTTTCAAACTAAAACCTAACTGTGTTGGGCTGCTTAGAAATGTAAGCTGGGTTGACTTCTAAATAAAGCTTCGAAGACCTTTTATTTAACTTTCCCCAAACTACTTCCCTGGGCTTTGTATTCTTTACTCCGGTGATGAGAAACATTGTCCATTCTCGAGGCTGCAGAATTTCTTTTTCTTTTTTCTTTGAAGTACCAGGGATCAAACTCCAGACCTTGCACTTGAGAGACAGGCATGGTGCCCCTGAGCTACATCTCAGCCCTGAAGCTGCAGCATTTCTGATACGGAGCAATCTGTCCAGGACACATACTCCTCACTACGACCTACTCATCCTGCCTCTTTTTCCTGCTGAAACAGTCACTCAGGAAGAAGCCCTTTCTTCAGAATTCTATTAAACTTGGACTGACATCTGTGTTACTCTGCACCATTATATTCTGGTTTGCCCTCTCATTCCACTACATGTATGCAAATTTTACTATGTTTTAAATTGTTTTTCACTAAATTGAGTTCTATTAAGGCAAGGGCCAGCCCTAGCTCATCTCTGACACCTACTGTTCATTTTCACATCACAGATATACGCAAGAAACAATATTTACTTCAGAGCGATACTGTGAGCATTAAATGGAATACTATAAAGGGTACCTGGCACATAGAAAATACTCAGTAAACACATTTAGTGGATGAACCAACGAAGTGAAGTTTTTATTCTAAAGGCCTTTAAGTCTTCCTTGTTTTTTTAAAAATATTTTATGTCACCCAAGGTAGAACAGACATAAATAACCCCACAAGTAAATCATTAAATGATAAAAGAAAAGAAAGAGTAATATACTATGACATAAATGTCATATGAAGAATTGTTAGGATTTATATCTGGACGTCCCCCCAAAGGATCATGTGGTCAAAGGCAGGGTTTTGGGGAGCGAGTGGACTATGTGGGTGTATATGTGACTTGTCCTTAGGAGGTGGGGTCTGGTCAGAAGAGTGAGTCCCTGTGGGTGTGGCCTGAAAAGGGTCCAAGTCCTTGCCACACCTCTCCCTCCTCTCTCTGCTCCCTGCCAGTCCCATGGACTGCTTTCCTGCACCATACTCCAGAGTCAGGATATCCCACCTCGGAGCCTACGGACTATGGACTGACCCCCGACAAACCATCAACCAGAAGAAACCCCTCCCCCTTTAATTCAAGGGTCTTGGGTAATGTGTCTCACAGTTGAAGCAACTAAGAGATCAATAGAAAAGGAGGAGGGGAAGTGGGGAGGGTAGGGGAAAGGAAATCAGGGAAAAGAAAAAAATATGAGAAAAGGAAAAAATGGAAACAAAGTCTTTGTAAATAGGGAAGGGTGAAGGGGGTAAAGGGAGGGCAGGGGAATGGGGAAAAACAGCCAAGATATATCGTGTAAAGGTGCAAGACCCCAGTGATGCCAATGTAACTGCACGGTATACCTAAAAAGTATCAATAAACCCAATGAAAAAGAAAAGAAATATTTTCCTAAGCACATAATAAAACACAGAAGATTTTTTATTTATTTTTCTAAAAGTAGAGGATGAGATAGAATTTTTCTTGTTGATAAATTTAAACTTAAGTAAGACAGTCTATATTTCTAACCCAAAACAGTGAAAGTATTGATCACAATAATTGGGAATAAACAAGCTGTAATAATAAGGAAAGGTAATATGGCATTATGGGTCTATCCATGTTTCTACTACTATTATGAAAACAGAACGTTTCACCTTGACTAAAAATCTAATCTATGAAAAATGTCTTACAAAATGCAACTTTTATAAAATCAAGAACCTAAAAGTTATTTCTTTGTGTTCTATGAACTTAAATAAATTATTGTACTAGGGACTGAAAAACTCAAATCAAAATGACTCATGAAAGAACACAGACATTTTAGATAAAATTTTATACCTGAATTATTTACCATCCATCTATAAGAATTCGTTATTGTAATTAGATTCTCAAAAGGAGAGCACAAAACAGAAATGGTATGACATTGATATTCAAAGGTCATTTTCAATTCAATTTTCACTTTATTAAATATATCTGCAGCACATGGAAAATGATATAATTATTTTGAGCATATCTCATTAACCATTTTTTAAATTCACTAAATTATGAAGTAAAACTGAATTATAAAATTTAAATTAATATATACCCACAAATCTTTCCAAAATATATAAGCAACTGAATAAAATAATCAAAACATGTTTAAAAGAGAGAGTAAAAAGATCTTGCAGAAAACTGAACAAATCTCTTTAGAGAAATGTGTGCCAAACTTATTTCAAGTTTATTTCTTTACATAGTTTTGCAGTTAATCCCTTATTAGATATATGGTGTTCAAATTATCTTCACACATCTTGCGAATTATTTTTCAATACTGATTTTCTCCTGCCTTCCTCCCTCCCTCTCTCCCTTTACTCCTTCCTCTCTTCCTTCCGTTCTCCCTTCTTTATTTCCTTCCTTCCTCTCTCTTAAAATGCAAAACTTTTCATTTAATACGATCCCATATATCTCTCTATTATTTTACTGCCTTGGTTTTTGGTATAATATCCAAAGAAATCAAAGTTTGTTCTGGAATTTTACACTTCCATCTTATGTTGATGATTATATGTTATAAGGCTTCCAATTTCTTTTCTTATTTAATTTTTATATAGATATCCAGATTTCCCAATACCATTTGTTGAAGAGACTATCTTTCCCCCAAATGCATATTCTTGGGAACTTTGTCAAAGATTAAGTGACCTTCTATGCATGGCTTTATTTTTAAGCTCTTTATTCTGTTATATTGGACTATATAAATATGTTTGATTATGCCAGTACTGTATTATTTAAATAACTATCATTTTAAAATATATTTTTAAATAGGAAAGTGTTACATTCAGCTGTCTTCTTTCTCAAGATCACTTGACTATTTTGGATGTTTTTGTAGCTTTATATAAATTTTAGGTTTGCATTTGTTATTTTTGTTAAAAAGGAATAAAGCTAATGTGGTTTTAATAAGAGTATTCAGTATGAATCAATGTAGATCACTATGGTCTCTTATGTTAAGTCTTTCGAGCAATCCACAAGATACCTTTCCATTTATTTGTGTCGCCTTTACTTTCTTTTGTCAACATTTTATAGTTTTCATTGTACAAGGCTTTCACTCCTTGGTTAAGTTGATTCCTGAGTATTTTATTCTTTTTGAGGAAATTCAAAATGGGACTGATTTCTTAAATTTCTTTACAGATGGTTATATTAGTGTAAAAAATTGCAAGTAGAGCCAGGTGTGATGGTGCGTGCCTATAATCCCAGAACTCGGGAAGCAGAGACAGGCGGACTGCCATGAGTTCAAGGACAGCCTGAACTACAGAGTGAGTCTGAAGTACATATCAAGACTCTATGTCAAAAACCAAAACAAAGCAAAACAAAAAAAAGTAAGTGATTTTTGTACATTGAATTTGTATCCCACAATTTTGCTGAATTAATTTATTAAAGTTGTCTTTGTGGCATCTTACAGGATCAAGTACATATCAAGACTCTATGTCAAAAACCAAAACAAAGCAAAACAAAAAAAAGTAAGTGATTTTTGTACATTGAATTTGTATCCCACAATTTTGCTGAATTAATTTATTAAAGTTGTCTTTGTGGCATCTTACAGGATCAAGTCACCTCTAAGCAAATATAATTTTACTCGTGGGGAGGTGGCTTGATCCTCTAAAATAGAAACAAATTCTTTGTGGATGTGGAGGGGTGGAGGGGTTGAAGGGAGGGCAGGGGAATGGGGAAAATATAAGAACCAAGATGGATTATGTAAAGATGCAAATTCCCATGGCGAATGTTATTACACTGTATATCTTAAATGTATAAATAAAATTTTAAAATATATACAATTTTACTTTTCCCTTTCCAAAGAAGATGCTTTATAAATGATTTTTCTTGCCTAATGGCTATAGCTATGACTTTCAGTATCGTGTTGAACAAAAATGGTGAGTATGCACATCTTTTTCATTTCTAATTTTAGAAAAAAGATTTTTCACCACTGACTATGTTCTCAGCTATGGACATCTCACTGCTAGGGGGAGCTGCATTTCTTCTGTAGCTAGTTCACTGCATGTCTTTATAATGAAAGGATACTGACTTTCTTTACATGTTTTGCTATCCTATTGAGATGGTCATATATTATTCTTCAGTCTGCTAACATGATGTCTCACAATTATTTATATTAATTATGTTGAAACAACCTTGCCTTGCTTGGTTGAGTCACACCTGATCATAATGTATGATTTTTTTTTTTAATGTGCTCTTGACTTGATTTACTAAAATTTTTTTTAATTCGAGGATTTTTGCATCTATATTTACCAGGAATCTTTTCCTGCCACGACTTTGTCTGACTTTAGTATCTGGATAATACTGGTCTCAGAAAATTGATTTGTTAACTTTTTTTCCCTCTTAAATTTTTTGGAAGAGCCTGGTGTGGTAGCACATGCCTGTAACCCAAGCACTTGGGAGGCTAAGGCAGGAGGATTGCTGCAAGTGAGGCCAGCTTGGATTACACAGTGAGTTCCAGGCCAGCCTGAACTACATGGCAAGATCTTTTCTCAAAACAAACAAACAAAACTTTTTGGAAGACTTTGAGAGAAACTGTCATTAACTCTTCTCTAAAACTTTGGCAGAATTCTCTTATGAAATTATATAGTCTTGGGCTTTTCTCTGTTGTGCAGTTTTTAATTATTTCATCAATATTCATACACATTAGTGATCTGTTCAAATTTTGCATTTTTTCATAATCTGACATTGGAGCACTGCCTGTATCTAGGAATTTATTTCTTTGGACCTATAGCTTTTCTAGCACACAGTTGTTCACACTGCCTAAAGACTGTTTTAATTGTGACATTACATTGTAATGGCCCCTCTTTTGCTGCTGATATCATTATTTTAGTTGTTGTTGGTGGTGGTGTTATTAGATCTAGCTGAAAGTGTGCCAGTTTTGATTATATTTTCACCAAACACTCGGCTTTGTTGATATTTCCTATCATGTTCCCACTATGTATTTTATGTATGTATGCTATAATCATTATCATTTCTTTCCTCCAACTACCTTTATGATGAATTTATTCTTTGTCTAGTTCTCTTGGTACTGAGCTGTACCCTGGGTTATGAGTTCTTTTAACTTGAGACAGATTGAATATTCTTTTTAGCCCATTTAGCAACATTTTGATGATTGATATTTCATCTTCAGAATCTTCTGTTTTTATAATACTTATTCCATCTCTGTCTTCAATGTATTCATGTTGATATTCTGTGAACATATTTGAAAGCTTACCCCAAAAAGGTTTTTAATGCATCATCTCAGTCACTGCTGTCTGTGTCTTTGATATCAACTGATAATTTTTCCAGGTTACCAAATATGCTTCCTTTGCACGTATAGGTAATTTTCTTCAAGGCCAGTCATTTTGAATATTACATTGTAGAGTCTTTTATTCATTCATTATCCTTTAACAAGTGCAGTTTGCTTTGTACTTACATATTTTCTCTCACCTATCAATTAAGTCTTACTTTTAAGCTCAGTTGGGTTATTTTTAGAGTACTTTATTCTAGAACTGCTTTGCCCCTGCAGTTATACAGTGGCCTTTCTGAAGTCTCTAATGATTTCCTGGGGCATTCAAAAAAGTCTCTCCACATTTTTTGGTTGTAAGTCTACTTTTTCTTAATGTACATATGATTTGGTTTTTATTTTTCATCTCTCTGGTAGTTTTCCTTCCCTAATTATTATTGTTTGCATAGCCTCATGTACTCCATTCTGCACATGTGTGTTGTGTTATTTGGCAGCTTTCAGAAGAACCCCTAGCCAGACTAGCAGAACTGTTTTATGCACATCTCCCTCCTCTTAGCATTCAATGTACTAACTCCAGCTTTCTCCTCTCCTTCAATTCAGATCTGTTTTCCAAGCAGTCATAAACTGCTTGGATTCTCTTTTTCTACTCCAAGATCTTAAAAACATTTCTGGGAACAAAGGAGAGTTTGTTTTAAGGCTGATCTCAATGGGTCCTTGCCCTCAAATATCATAGCCCCACACTGCCTGTTGTTCATTCTAAAAACAATTGTTTTGCATAATTTATCATGAATTCTAAACATTAGTACGGGAAAGCTATTTTACTACTTGCTGCTCCCATATGGCTAGAAGCAGAAGAATTTCCTATTTACTTATAGACAGGTTTCAGGCTGTAGGAACTCAATAATCCACCAAAAATCACTCCCTTATGATCAAGTACGACCTCCACCTTGCCAGACCTACTGATAAAAAGCCTTTGAAATGTTTCTTCCTTCTTAAAACAAATCTCTCACTCTGTAGAGTTACACTCTCTGCTGAATCTCTTCCTTAATTATTTTTCTTTTAAAAGCTTCCCTGCTGGATTCTCACCTTCTTTGCAACCTCTAAATCTTAGACTCCAACTGAGATTATGACAAAGACTCCTCTTAACTAGCTACATTCATTCAATCCTTGTGTACCAAACAGACCTACACCCTCAAAGTCTTCAGCATTATAATCTCATCGAAAGCCTATACACATTTTGCTTAGTTTTTGCTTGTACTTGCACATCTCACAGATATTTTCAAATTTCTTAAGCTGCAAGGATCATCAGCTTCCCAAAATTTGCTTCTTGGTAAATTTTCAGTGTAAGTAAATGCCAGTGTATTATTTCAATTTAATCTAACATAGCAGTTAACACTGCCTTCTTTATTTTTAAACTTACTTCCAATATGTTGGCCAAATATGTTAGCTCTACTTTTGAAAGTTACGCCAAGTTAATTACCTTTTGTCATATCTACTATCACCACATTGGTTCAAGTCATTATTATTCTCTTCTAAATCACTCTTCTTGAGCTTCTGATCCCTCTCTTCCACCCACAAGACTAACCAAAAGCAGTTAGTCTTTTCTTCCACACAGCAATCAAAGTGATATTTTAAAATGTAAGACAGGCCATGTTACATATCTACCCAAGCTTTATGCTCCAAATCTTTAATGCATCTCTCTTTTCTTGGATTTTACTAAAAACAGTGAAAAGAAATTCGTTTGTAGCATCAACACTTTTATTAGAATTATCCTCGGCTAAATGTCCAAGTTCACTGTTTGGAAGCTCTACTTCCGCTCTACAGAACACAAGCTGGCCAACTCTTCTGCTACTTTATAATAATGATCAGCTTTCCTCAAGTTTCTATGAACAAAAAAATACCAAAACTTTTTACTAGACAATCTAGTGGTTTTCTGTCTTTCACCACAAAACTTTCATCATCTCCCCATTACCCAATCCCAAATACATTTAAATATTTTTTACAGTAGTACCCTGGTGCTAAGTACCAAAATCTGTATTCATTTTCTTTGCCCACTACTGCAAATTACCAGAAACTGAAAGACTTACACAATGTAAATTGATTAGTAATCCTGAAGGCTAGAAGGCTGAAATCTTGGTATTACTGGGACAGTTAATTCTGAAGGGTGTGAATTTGTAAGGTTCTGTACCACTCCTTTCACCTTAGCTCAAAGATTGTTGTTTGCTTAGTGTCTCTGTAGTATTTTTGTCACCAGATTGTCCCTATTTATTTTGGATTGAGACCTAAAACAATGTCACTATTTTACCTGTTACTCTGTGAACACCTATTTACAAAGTAGTGATCTGAGCTACTAGAAATCAGTGGCTCATATGGATTCGAGGGACAGAATATACAGTTCTAACCTGCTCATAATTTAACTTGGGGTGTTAATTAATATTATCCAGGAAGAACTATACAAATTCAGGAAGGGAATGAAAAAAATGGAAATAAGGTGCTTGTAAATGGGGAGGGAAGGAGGGGGTGAAGGGAGGGCAGGGACAAGGGGAAAAAATGAGAACCAAGACCTGTCATGTAAAGGTACAAGATCCCAATGATGAATTTAAATGTACTGTATACCTAAAATGTACCAATAAACTCAATGAGAAAAAAAAAAGTGAACCAGAGAAAGTATTTGTGTATTATTATTTAAAATACTGAAAGAGAGCTTTTCAAAGATAGTGAAAAGAAGAAATCTACAGATAATAAGAATACAAAAGTCAATGACTAAAATAACAACATAAAAGAGAAAAACACCAGAACAAATAAGTAAAGTTAACAATCAAAACTCATTGGCACTAGGGTGCCCGGATGTCCTTGCAAAGAACATGAGTTAACAGGGCAGCACACAAGCTGAATCAGGGGTCTAAGGAGGTCCCAAGGTTGACATAGTGCGAGCTGCTCTTTTCACAAGGTTACATGAGGAGGAGAAAGAACGGCAAAACTTACAGAAAGAAAAGTGGATTAAAGTAAAAGGTACAATAACCACACCTTGAGGTAAACGTATATGCTGTTTGATTTGTTCTCTGTCGCAATAATGAAGAAGCTTTATGATTGTATTTAAGCAGTCTTTCTCATCTTAAAATTAATAATTCAATTTAAAATGTTAGCCTTCTCTCACATTTCACAGGCCTCTTCCTCAGTGTTCTCTCTAACACTTATCACTCACACTAATACTGTATAGATTTATTTGCTTAGCACACTGGTTGGTATAAAGTCCATGAGAACAGAAAGTTTTAAACTGTGATTTTCAGAATTGTAC